AGAATCGACACCCCAAAACTGTGCTACAACTAGCGCATCATTCTTTGGGCATAATCATATTTGGTACCCCCACTGAGGACTAAAACGAAGGTCGGGATCTCGGGGTATGACATAGAACCACTTTTTTTTTCACCTTTCAAAGAACTGGCATCTTCGTGATCCTAAAACCTCCTCGAGATGAAAGGTATGCAAAGCATGTGTACTGAAAGAGTTGCTTTAGGTCGAAGACCATCCTACAGAGGTCGAGATAGGGCATAATGCCGAAGTATCTATAGGCTATGAATAAGTAAGTGAGCATCCTCCACCTATTTGACACTAACTGCTCTGGGCTCATATTATGCTCGACTAATAACTCTACAAAGAATGGGTATAAGGGCCACCTAAATCCCCCTTTCAACGGATCCCTAAAAATAACAAACTCTCCATCCCGAGCTATAGCCATCTTATCCTCGTACCCAGGAGTCCTAATGTCACAGCTCGGATGAGCCCATGCTAACTAACCATAGCTATCGCTAGATGCTCTTTAAATTTATAGGGTTGGTCGGGATATCTAAATGGGGTCGGGACTTCTTGAGCTCGAGGCTGAGCATGTATGGGGACTACCATAGGTATTATTGAGTAACCTGCATCCTCAAAGGTTGTTCCCGATTCTGACAAATGGTGTCTTTAAAACCTTTCTAAAGAATTAACTTAAGTTCTCGAGTTCTTACCTTAGAAACTCGACGTCCCAAAAACCCACAAAAATGTCTGCTCTCGAGGATGGCTAATGAACTTACTGAGAATAAAAAGGTGAAAAGTGAAATGCGAATGGTGTATTTATATGCATTACTGGGGGGAAACCCAAGGGTTTTCTCTTGGGCCATCCGATCATGGCAAGTGTCACACATCTAGGACGCATTTCCTTTCCATCAGCTTTACAAACTAGGGCTGACATCATCACCACATGTTCACATACCTCAAGAATACTAGTTATTACACAAACAATCGACGACTGCTGAACGGGAGTTTATGCATCCATCCTCAAAATTCAAGCATGAATGCACGGGGGCTAGTGAAAATGTACATTTCTACAATTCCCGACCTGTGAATATCGAGGACTCTAAGATGCTATTTTCACCATTTCACCGGCATGACGGTTGGGGTAGCATAGTCTTCGAGGTATGCTTTATGCCCTTACATAAGCCACCATGTCAGGAATGAGGATTTACCGAACCGTCCTCAGGATATACCCTTGCCCATTATCGAGCCTGCCAATTCTTGACGAATCTCGAGTCTCCCCTGGTAATTGTTGCTGGCCCAATTCCAACATACCTGGGGACCCTGGTCCTACCCAAAACACGTCAGCATACCACTCCTATGAGAACTCTGCCCTACATGCCACGTTATGACTAGGCTTCAGTTGTAGTTCAAGTCCAACACTTCAGTTTAGAAGGACTCTATAGGATAAGGATGTTCGATAGGGCTATTCCATTAGGAGTGCACTACATAATCCTACTTGGGGTATAGTACCTGCCTCTATAAATATAAAGCATTGGAGCATTGTCTAAGTACGTTTTTCCTTATTTTCAGTCTATAGCCCCATACATAAATTCTCTGTTTGACTTAAGCATCGGAAGGGATAATGAGAACACACCTCGTTGACTTTGTTTTAGGTACCGGAAGATTACAATTGTGCTCATTCACAGTCCTCAAGCTCTGAAAATCAGCAGGTGTAGATTTTTGGTAGCATCACATGTAATTTTAAAACCTTTTTCTTTTGTAACCATACGTTCTTTAAAAAAAATACTATTCCAATTGTTAAAATTTTAAATAATGGGGCCAAACAGGGGCTAATTGTTGCCCCTTTCTCATGTGTACAAAAAATTGTGGCATGCATGCTTTGGATTTTGAGTGATATATCAAAATGGTCACCATGAAAATTATGATCTACGTTCTAGTGTGAAATGTGAATACTCAATTAATTGGTCGTTGGAACAAATACCATGACTAAAATGCCTTTTGAAGCTCGTGTGCAAAAGTTGTACTCAAGGAAACTTCTTTTTATCACATTTTTTTAAATTATTTTTTATACCTAACATATATATAATTATGTACAAGTAATATTACTCTATAATTTTTTAGTTTAAGTTGTAGTTCAACAATGTTATGATAAAAAAAGAATTATTTACTTCAGAAACAATGAATTTCGTAAGCTTTCATGGTTTGACTTTGTATTATTTTAAGCTTTATAGAGATAATGTATTAATATTGTAGCACTGTTAATGTTTAAAAATTTTCAATTTGAGTGCTATAACCACAATAAAGTGTTTTGTTTGATATGACTTACAAAATGAAATGGTTTAATTTTGTTTGAATTTTTTGCTTGATTAAAAATCGGTCATATCGAACCATGTATAAATATAACAAGCGACTTCCAAATTCGAGCTATGTATTTTGATCTTACTAAGCATTGTTCTTATGCAACATATTCTTCTTGGTTTTTGCTTCTGCAAAGTAATATAAATTTAACTCCAATATTTCTTCTACTTTGAGATTTTAGAATGTCACAACTTGAAAAAGGGAAATCTGTGTTGTATTTCCATATTCTAAAGCAACACTGCCCTTAACTTCTTGGCTAATTAAGGATGGTGAGTTTGATTCGTGTTGACAACAAAAAAAATGTACCTCCAACGGGCCAACAGATTTCAAGGCCTCTCATGTCCACGCATGCTTTGTTCCTACATATTTGGACAAACTGCTAGCCACACATGGCCTCCTCTTTCGGTGAGGGTGGAGTTGGCCACGTGCATTCCATCGATCAAGTCAGATGGAGAAGAAAAAGTACATAGATTCTATGTACCGAAGGCAGTAAGACTGATCATAGGAAAATTCCTCACTCAAGATGCCTCTGCAAGTGCTAATATGAGCATGGGAGAGCTTTAGATGTGTGCCTTCAATATAGAAAAATCGGTTGGCTTGGGGAGTAACAAATAGAACAATGATGTGGCAAAGTTATAGTGTGAGAGTCTAAATTTGCATTATCTTTAGAATGACACCAAGTGTAAAGTTTTATAACAGAAAAGAGTGACTAAAAACCATTAAATGAAGAGGCACGTGGCTCCATTCGTGTGGTTGGTATCTCTTGTTGAAGACATCAATCAATGATAAGCATTAAATGACAATATCACATTTTTATTCAAAATGCCTAGCTTGTGGCTTTAGACTTGAACTGGTGGGTTTGGAAGTGGCGATGACAATGAATTGTCACATCAATCACATGCTATATATTGATTGAGAAATCTTGCTCTGAATTCCCTTTACAGACTCGCCTCTTCCATGTTTTTGTTGTCTTAATAGGGTTAGCTAGTGGGGATCGATAGACATATTGGCTCGACTATCCTAAAGGGGTTCGTCCTGTGTTGATTTGTGTTCAGGCTTCACGGTTTGCTAGCCACGTAGGACATTTGAGTGGGTTTTATGGATGAGGCGTAAAAATTTGCCTCTATACATCATTGCTTGATTTAACCTTTTGTTGTGGAAATACAAATTCTTGATTATGCCTCAGTTACACACTTCTAAATGTTCGTTTCCGAATAATTAACGCTCAACTATCCGTGCCCTAGTAACTAATAGTTCATTGACTCTCTACCACCTTTTAATTTATGCAAAGATAATCCTTTATTGTTGGTAAAATTTGGTAAATAATTTTATTTTAAAAGTTGCAAAAAATATAATAGAGTTTGAGTTACGGACATCATCATGTGTTATTGAAAATGAATTTGAAAAAAAAATGTTAAATAAGTTGTGTCAAGTAAATGATTAATTAATCTTTTCATTTATGGATTTTGGATCCTTTACTTGAATTCGTACATACCTTCACATAGTACATTAAAAACCTATTTACAGTTATCGGTTCATGACAATTAAAATTTTTCTGGTACATGACAGTAAAAAAGATATCTAATATATACTACGTTGTGTATCATTTTCCAACTCTAAAAATGCGTATATTAATCCTACATTGACGACAACGTTAATCAAGCTAAATAGTTTCTCTGATTTGCTACTTGGCCAACAAAAATTAGTGTTGCTCATCATAATCAATTTGATTGTGCTCCGCTTACACTAGTAATAATAATAATAATGTGGACCTACATGCACTCATTTGACTATTAATATCAAAACAATAACCAGACTTTGTTTTAATTAAATTAAAAGAAAACATGTTATGTTCACTTTTACTAGCTATCAAAAATGATAATTTACTTTCTTTCATCTTAATAATAAAAAAATAACGAATTGGATGAGTTTTGTGAACTTAAAGGCCCCGTTTGATACCCATTTTTTTCAAAATGTATTTTTCTCTCTTTTTTTCAATCGCACATTCTTCATTAAAATAATATTACACGTAAATAAAAAAACTTTTCCTTATTTTTTAACTGCACATTTCCCATCAATTTACTATTTCAAAATGTATTTTTACATAAAAATGACTCACAAACACTTTCTAAATTCATTTTTAATCTGCAAACTCTAAACATATTGACTAATTGACTGGGGCAGACAGACGAATCTTTGATATGTTTACATTATCTAATTAATCTTGAGTTTGTTAACCAAGACCAACCAGCTGTCTTGTTACTAGCACCCTACAACATGGAATACTAGATTTTGAAGTTTGAATGTATTAAGAAATTGATTAAGTGAATGAAAGATGCCAAATCAAGCAATTAATCCCATGGGAAAAATAGATACCATCTTTTTTTATCTTATTCCTTTCATAAAATTATGATTTAGCGCTCTTAATTTCTTTGGATTCTTCTCTTTTTGTCTAATCTTTGCATCCACCTTTTTTTTTTTCCTTCAGAAAAATCAATTGCTTTCCAATAAGAAACCTTCAGATGCTGGCAATAATCAATAATGCCGCTTTTTTGCTGTCAAAATGATTGTTTTATCTCTGTAATTCTCACTAAATTACAAATGGAAAGAGAAAGGTAGAACCAATTGCAGGGATGACACAGTTGAATATTAAAAATTTTCCATAATGTTTAAACAATCAAGCCAACAATTCTTTGGCATAACCAATATTCAAACAAGGCTGGTGGATTGTGCAATCCAAGACGTAAATTCACAACTTAAAAGGATAATGTTCCATATCTCTGTTGTAATATTCACTCTCAATTAGTGACTGCTTGTTTCTAGATACAAGTCATCAGCACAAGAAATCTCCGTGATCCCACTAGAACATTGAGAAGAAATCATGTCAGTATCCTCTCCCATACTTAAAATGATACTACTGATGCATTCCGAATTTCTAGATTTCTTTGTTGTGTTATTGATACCGAGACTTCTGCCCTTCCTTTTCCCCTGCTGCTGGTATATGCAGCAGACGACCCAGTCTCCCACTTCCAAAGTTAGTTTCTACAAAGAGTATGTTTACAAAATGTTGAAAACAATTGATGAAATAAGAATAAACACATACAAGATGTACCTGATAACTTAAGCGTGGAGTAATTAGAGAGTTTTGAATGCAATATTGATGCATAACCCATTGAGTCTTGAACGCAGGACCACGATAATAGTTGTATTTATAGAAGACCAAGGATTTCTTCATTCCAATTACTCGGTTGGTTCCAGGAGCCATAATTTGGCTGTCTTGGCCAGTGGCTTTCCAGTAACCACAGCCAGCACTGAAACTGCTGCATTTATTCATTACATTCCTGTTTCTCTTGCTGAAGAAATATCTCTTCTCCTTCAAATCACCTTAATTACATATAGGGGTTTGGGCAATGTATGAAAAATAAGTGGGAAAATGGCAGTAAGTAAATGAAATTAAGTAATTAATACATACCAGGTAAGTCCCAGGGATTGAAGCTGAAAACATCAAGTTGAGTAATGACGGTGGCCGGCAATGGCAAAGAGTATATCTTTCTAATCAAGTAGTGAAGAAGCAATTCTTCATCAGTGGGACGGAATCTGAACCCAATGGGAAGTTCAATGTCTCCATTTCCCACACCAGCGTTTGTCTTCTCCATATTAGTTGAGAAAGAAACTCTTCCCTTTCTGATCTGAACAGAAAAACGCTGAATAAAAGACAAATTGAGGCAGCAGTAATGTAATGTTATCAAGAAATGAAAAGCAAAGCAAAGAACGTCGCAGAACGTGCAACTGTATAGGACTTGTAATAGATCCAGAGAGTTAGGCTTCAATGGCTGTGAAGCTATGTTCAATTGAGTAGGAGTCGTCTTGTTTATAGGCAAGTCAGAAAAAAGGAGTCCTGTTCTGACTCCAACTTCCTAAGTTGTCTACTTTGACCAACTTTTCAATTAACGTGTAACAAGGGACAACTAATTCTCTTTGCAATAATATTATAAATTTCATCCACCACCAATGACAAGTCATATTCTGCTCGTGTCTAAATTCAAATTCTTGTTTGAACCCTAATATTGATGAAAATAGATTTTGGAATAGTGATTATTTGAAAAATGTATGATTGAAAATTAAGAAAAAAATTTAAATTTACATATAAAATTATTTTATTAAGAAAATGTGTAGTTAACAATTAGTTTGAAAAAAATGTATTATTGAAAAATGGAGTTCAAACAAGAGCCCAATCTATTTTATCGTAAATTTGCTTTTTAACAGAGTTATTTAGGGCCTATTTGTGTCCCTTTAATTTCAAAAAGTGTATTATAGAATAGTGATTGATATTGAAATGTATGGTTAAAAAATAAGAATTTTTTTTATTTATGTATAATATTATTTTAATGAAAAATATGTAATTGAAAATGAATATTGTAGAAAAAATAATGTGATAAAATGTTATACAGTGATCGGCAAACAAAGGCTTATTAATCACTTGTCTTGATGATAATAGAAAGGGGTAAAGATACATGGAATGGAGTGGGAAGAAAACCAAGACTGTTGAATGTTAAATTCCAGATTGTATTACCGTGAACAATTTTAAATTATTGATTACAAGGTCAAAGTTTCATTTTACCTTTTGTGATAGCAATAAAAAATTTAACATCGAGTGTGTTAATTACTGTTCACGCACACCGAAGTTTTTAAACTTTTTAGGGAGCAGATATATACTGGTTTAGGACAGGATGAAGTTATGTATTTCAAAACCCAACATTTCTATGGTGTGTGCACTGCAATTTTTTATTTTTCTTTCCTTAATTTCGTTAGGGTATTTGATAGGGTGGAATTGGAATTGGAAGATGGAATTGAAATTGAATTTTTCAACTTTAAATGTTTGATACATTTTTTTTTCCATGGAATTCGAATTCTTAGTTTCCTTGATGTTTGGACTTTTCTTGGTTTTTAAGGAAAATCAATTTCCCACCATATACCTATTGTAGCATTTCTTTTTTTTTTTTTTTTTTTTTTTTTACAATGGAAACAAATTCTAAGAATTATTGTAAAAATATATTTCCCTTTAAATGACAATTTTCATGTAAAACAAAGTCAAAAGAACACCAAAAGATAGATGATTTTCTTGAATTTTTTTTTTTTGTGTGTTGGCAATGGAAATAAATTTCATCCCCAACACCAGTAAAATCTATTCCTTTAATTGACAATTTTTATGTAAAACAAAACCAAACGAACATTAAAAAAAACTTTTATTTCAACATTTTTCAAGCAGAAAATTATACTAATCAAACACAATAATTTACAATTCTCAGGAAAACAATTTTTTGCAATTCAATTCCTTGAAATTCATTTTCTAGACAATTCAATTCCATCTTTACAATCAAACGGACCTTAGTGTAGATTAAGGATGGTAATAAAACTCGTCATATCCGTGGGTCTCCCGAACAAGACGAAGATTATCCACTTAATCAAGTAATCGAGTTGAGATGGGGGGCGGGGGCAGATTCCGCCTTGGGTTAGGCCTGAGCAAGGTTTGGTTTGAGTCGGTTTCGACTCAAAACTGAAACCAAAATCAAAACCAAATTAGTTGGTTTGGTTTGATTTGGTTCGATTAGTCGGTTTGGATTTTTAGTCCAAATTGAATTTTTTTCAAAAAAATTGTTCAAATTTTGGACTCACTTAAATTACAAGGACAAAAATAATTAAATAATTTAATATTACAAGAATTATTGACTAACAAATAAAATCATGTTAATAGGGACGGATCAACAAAAAACTTGAAAATTTTGTTGTTTTTTTTTTTTTTTATATGTTATATAGTCTATCTGCCTAAGTAGGGAAAAATGTTAAGTACAACATAATGAGCTAGTAAAATGAAATTTTCAGTGCTATTACTTATCGACAATGTTAACGATTAGAGGAAATCGAGAAATATTTATGATATTAGGGCTTATTTTTTATTTTTTTCTTAAATTAAAAAAAAAAAAGTAAACATGTAAATGGGTTGGGTTAGTTTGATTAACCAACGGTTTGAGATTTCAAATTATGACTCATCCAAACCACCATGGTTTTGTTTAGAAGAAAATCAAACCAAACTAATTACTAATGTCAACAGAATCGAACCGAGGGTTTGATTGGTTTGGTCAATTTTTTTTATTTTTTTGGGGGTACTTTTCAAGTGGGCTGAGTCAAAGAACAAGTTTTCCACTTTGACCAAATTTTTTTTTCATTCACCACATTGACCTCTTCTGTTGAAAAAGACAATTGTACCTTTATTATGTTCCATAATTATAAAAACATATTAATTTTTTGAAAGACAATAATACACTTAAAATTTTAAATAAATTCAATCACTTCCCCACGTAAATTTCAAAATCAATTTTGCTTATCAGTTTCTTCAATACGGTTAAAAAGAAATTTCCTCTTCCATCTGCTAGAATACTGAAATCTCACAAAATTATCAAAGGTTTAACAAAAAATATTACTCATAGTTGGTACTCGAAATTAGTAAGTGTAAATACGTATTTTTAATTTTGTTTTAGTTAAAGTAGTATACTGTTTGAATCTTTAAATCTTATTTCGACAAAAGTAGATGAATTATTACAGTATTAAACACATATGTATTATTTTTTTTAACAAAAATAAAGAAAGAAATTCATCTGTGTGCATATTATTTCAGGAAAAATTCATAGTATTTCGTTGGAAAAAAATTCCAGCCGGCCCGAACGTTATTTCTTTTGTTATTTAATTATTTTTTTAATGTTTAAGATTTTATAATTTATTTGTTAATATTTAATGTATATTGTTTATTGTAAGTATTAATGAATATTTAATATTCATTGAAATAAATATTTTTGTACCAATTAAAATAATTAACAAATTATTTTATAATATTAAATAAAATATGAAATGAACAATTTAAAAAATTATGTATTAATTCATTATGTTTAACCTATTATCTAATATTTTAAATTTGTGGCAGACATGGTATCAGCATATATCCCAATTTGTTATTTCGGTGAATTTCAAAAGAATGAAAATGCTCAGTGGGAATGGAAATTGACGAGTGAAGGAGATGGGGTTAAAGCAATTTTTATAACAATGAGTACATCGTTTACAGAAATGTACCATGATATACAAAACATGCTTAACGTCGATTCCTCTTAGTACGATATGGAATTTTTGTTTCATAAGCATTCAACCATTCTGATTCCACCTATAAAAGTTACTTCCAAAGTGGAGATAAAACATCTAATTAAATTGAACCAAAGCCGAAAATCGACTCCTATTGCGTAGCTTTATTGAGGAAGAATGTCCCCGAGTGTGAACACGAAGTTTTCGATGAAGAGAATCGTAATGTAAATGATGTTTGGGATATAATTCAGATTGTTCGTGAAGATGATGTGGTTATTCTAGAGACCACTGCTACTCACCATGATCACACTATTACGCACAGAATTCTATCGGCAGTTGATGATAACGAGAATGAAAATTCATTTACAGACGAGAATTTGATTGCTTTATCTCTAGGAGACATGAGTTGGGTGGGAACTCACAGGCCGGACCAAGTACACGGTCCTCTAATTGTTCACGTGTGATTCTAATGATGAAAATGTGTATGTCGAGCAACTGTTCGAATCAAAGAAAGAATTACAAAAAGCTGTGCACCGGATTGCTTTAAGGCATAACTTCGAGTTTAAAGTGAAGAAATCAAACAAGTCGACGTACAAAATTATCTGCGTTGACGACAGTTGCCATTTACGTTTGCGAGCGACGAAAATGGATACGAATGAGTTCTTTGGAGTTTGTAAGTATGCACAGGAACATACTTGTGAAATGGATATTCGTTGAAATGATCATAGGCAGGCCCGATCATGGTTCATTAGTCGATAAATAATGCACAAGTTCCAGGATTCACGAACGATCTACAAACTTTCGGACATTATTAATGACGTTCGGTGAGAGTACGGGGTGGTCATGAGCTATCAAAAGGCTTGGAAAGCCAAAGAATGTGCATTGAAGGACTTGATAGGTTCGACCGAGGAGAGTTATGCTAAATTGACTGGTATTTCATTGTTTAGGTGTTTATTTCTTTGTTATTTTAATTGTTAATTAATTTATTTCAATTGTTTATATAATTATGTAATTCAATTGTTTATTTAATATGTAATTAATTATTTAATTGAATTGTATTTTTCTATTCATTTCATACTGAATAGATTATCTAAATTATGATTATTGTTTATTTACATTGGTCACGTATTGCTATAACATGGAAAGAATTAATACTGGATCAACATTTCTTATTGAGAAGGATGACGATAATCGCTTCAAGTATTTCTTTATGACCCTTGGACAATGCGTTCGAGAATTTCGAAACGCAATACGACCCCTAATTCTAGTTGACGGCACAACCCTTAAGATGAGATTTGGGGGCAAGTTAATTATTGCAACATGTCAAAATGCCAACATCCAAATTTACCATCTTGCGTTCGGCATAGTCGACGGAGAAAATAATCTAGCAATGAGTTGGTTTTTCACGATGTTGAGGGAAGTAATTGGGGATGTCGAAAACCTTGCGTTTGTAATCGATCGAGGGCAGTCAATAATAAATGATATCGTTGAAGTCTTCCCCAAGGTACATCATGTTATTGTATGTACCATATACAGGGAAACTTGAAGACCAGGTTTCGAAGCAAGGGCATCGTTGCGTTGTTTAGAAGAGCTGCAGAGGCTTACAATTTTGAAGAGTTTGAGAAGTTCATGGTCGAAATAGACAGCAAATTGCATGCTACATGGGAGTATCTAATAGAGATGGGGATCGAACATTGGACACGATCACATTTCTCAGGACGTCGATACAACATGATAACATCGAACAATGCAGAGTCGC